GAAAGGGTATGTTCGTTTTTTGTAGTACAAATTGACCGTTTTTTGCCAGACTAATTAAGTGAAAGGGGGGGTCGGTGAATTTTAACCCCCGGGGCCCCCCCATTTCCCCTCCCCCCCCTTTTTTGACAAAGTTTATTTACGGGTGGCCCCCGGTGTTAATGGGTTTTTATTTTTTTGGTTTGCCAGAAGTTGATGGCGACATTGTCTCCCATGACTAAGTTGCATTCCCCACTGCTAGTGAACGAAATTAAAAGGCGTTGCCCATTTATTGTTAATGGACTGACCCGGGGGGGGCGCTACTTCGTAGCACTTGGCCTGGCGAATTTTTGGGTTTACAAATTTTGCTCGACCAAAAAAATTTTAAAGAATTTTTGGTTTTTTTTCTTATGGTTTTTTTGTACGTTGTCCCTTGTTAATGTAATGGACTAGCCCGGGCGGTATTCGAGCACTTCCCCGGGTTTTAGCGCTATGCAACGGGGGCCCCGCCGATGGAACGATTTACACGTGAATCAATTGCCTCGGGCGGAAGAGAAGCGGGGCGCGCTACTTAAAAAAAATTTGAGATAACATCTTATGGGGGGGGCTCAGCCCGTCATTCCGCCCAATCTCTATTTATTAGAAAAAAAATTAATAGCCCGGGGGGCCCCCGGAAATAAAACGTTGTTTTTTTTTGGGAAAAACCCCCGAAGGAGGTTGTTAAGTGCTTCACCTAGCCATGAGTCAATTTATACGCGTACTGCGTGACGCGCTTGCTCCAGCGGTCGCGCGCAACTGCAAGCGAGAGGGCTCTGGATAGAGCAAGTTAAGTGCTAAAGACCGACGCGAAATAGGAAATAACACAATAAACTATTCAATAACTTCTATTCGGAAGCCTTACTGAATAAATTTAAAAATAGAATAAGCATATTAGTAAACATTCCGCTTACAAAGTTCGGGAGTCTGGAAACGTGGTTTAATTTTATTGTGTTAACATTCTACTTCACAAAATCAATTAAAATTTCGAAGACTTTCAGTCTTACTTGGAAAATAAGATGCAATTAGATTGTCCCACATTGCGACCCTCAACTATTTTTCAAATAGACGGGGCTTCGTTCATGTAGCGTGATGCACTACTGGGTCGCGCATCAAATAATTCTTCTCGCAACCACTTCGGTAGATCGGCGAGTCGAGATGCACCACTGGGCCTCGCCGAGCTGCGAAAGATTGACATCGAGAATCAAGGGGCTTCGCAGTTCGCAGATTTAGGCAAAAGATGTACATTACAAGGCGGCATTGTCCATGGTTAATGGACTGACCCGACGCGCTTTACTTCGAAGCACTTGCCTCGAAAAGAAAGCGGCGCGCTACTTCGAAGAAATTGAGACGAGTAACATCCGTCAAGCACATCGACAATCAATATCTGATAAGGGGCCATCTAATTAGGACGTCCGGCAAAAACTCAAATAGGAAGGGGGTGATTTCTGAAAATCTGGACGTCCAGAAACAAGAAATTTTGGTAGAATTAACGAAAAAGCTCCCAATTATTTCAACTCTTTGACACTAATACTCTGTAGTTTAGATCCTGATTTTGAAGAAAGCAGCTCTTGAGAGCCGAGACACAACTCGATATTTCTCCTACTGCCTTAAAACTTATTCGATTGGATGGCTACTTAATTGAGTACTTAAATGTAACTGTGCTAAATCTGTTTCGACACTAAATGTATTATTGTTCATTTTTATTAACAATGAATTTGAGTTGGTTTTATTTGTACTTCTTAAAAGTAGCTGGAAACCCCGGACAATCCGGGGGTGGTTTTGAAAATTCGGACACTACCCGGACGGGGGGAGGGGTCTGAAAATCTGCGATTTTGGCGGCCGTCTTAAAAAGCTAAGCGTGTAGCTAGTAGAGCTGGTATATCTCTGAGTCTCAGAAATGTCGCTAATGAGACTCATGGTCTGTTATTTACGATTTCACTACAGCTACTCCGAGTAGTACATGCAATATGCATAGCTGAGAAATGTCATACAGTATCACCTTTAAAACAACACTCCATTCCGTCTCTCTTTCTATCACTCCCCCTCTCTCCCTCTCTCCCTTTCTCCCTTATTCATTTAAAAAACCAAACCTTGTTAACTCTATACTTAACTTCATTATATGGCGTGTGTCGTATTCTTATCATTAGTGGCTACTATTTTCATGAACTTAGTGAGACCAGAATCATCTGGTAACTAGTCCCGTATTATATAAGTAATACCTTGTGAATAGTAATCAAAATTATGCAGAAAAAGGATTTTCGATGATTATTTCGGACCAGAACAACAGTATGAGTGCTGTTTTCTTGGTTTTGAAAATGTTCCATTGACCATGCTACAAAGGTTTTTTCTCGGCCTAAATTTCGTCAGGGTTTCATTGACTATGTGCAGATAAAACCAACTATAAAACTACCAGTCTACCATTCAAATACCTAGTGAAATAGTCAAATACCTACTAGTGAATATTACAGGTAATAATAACAATAATCTAAACCACTCACCACTTCTAGAATCCTCCAGTTTCTCCCTCTCGTCGGCAGCTATCTTCCTCCCTTCCAATATTGCAGTTGCTGTGTCTACATGGTTAGTAGCTGACTGTGCTATTCCTGGATTGCGAGGTGTCGCTGCAAGATGGCGCGCTGTCGTTTCCAAGTGCCGCGCTGTCGTTGCTTGGCGACGGTCACTTGTTGCTTGGTGACGTGCTGTGGCTGTCGCACGTGCACGTGAACAGTTGCCGCGTGATTTGGTATGCTGTGGAATACCTTACATTATACATTATACTGAGTGCAATTAAACGTTAAGAAAATCATATAGCTTAAAAAGTTTTTTTTAATTGGCAAATAAGTATGTCTGGAGGGGGATCATTTAAAACATATAAGTGATACGAAAAGTTTGTTTTAGCAGGAGCTTTCAAAGTACATGTGTAAATCGTCTTCAGCAAATAAGTAGTTGGGGGTACCCCCCCCCCCCCCCCCAAGTAGTTTTAGAAACTCCTATTCTTGACTGGTGTTCTTATTATGTACTTACTGGTAAAACAACTCTATTGTCTGTATCAGTGGAGTGATTTGAGGAAGAAGCACGTGCGTTAGAGGGTCGTATGAGAGAGCCGCGCACTGCAGAGAGAGGATTGTAGCCTAGTTTACTGGGTGGCTTATTTACTTCTGGAGATTTTGTGGGTTCGGCCAGGAAATCGTCTGCAGTATATTTCCTCTCCGCCTTTTGATGGAGACCAGGCGGGGTTTGGCCAACAAGGGGCTTCCCCTTAGAGTTAGAGGGGCGGTGAGAGAACTCAGACTCGGAAGAAGCGTCCGACTCAACATCCTCAGGGTACACAACCTCACAGTCCGACTCGGACTCGTCTATAAAGGTGTTCTGACCGTAACGAGACTTGCCGTAATACGAGGTAGTTTTATATCTTATCACTCTCCTGTGTTCCGTCTCCTCCTCCTCAACGCTGTGATCAAACACTTTCCTGGCTGTCTCAGCCAGTCTATCTATCTGACCTATCTTAGGACGAGTTCTGGGTGTGACGTATCTGTACTCCACTGGACGGGAGGGTGTGATAAGGGCCGGGTTGTACGTTACTGTCCGGGAATGGACGGATTGTGGTAATGGTCTGGAAGTTGCTCTGAAGTTTTGTTGTGAGGTTCTGCCTCTGAACGTGTTCGATCTGAAGGAAAAGGGTTTGAGAGGGCTGTTTTAGAGGGCTGTTTTTAGAGACTGCTGATTGGAAGCGGCACGAGGACAACGTTCTTTAGCAAACTATTTTAATCGGCGGAGCTTATTTAGAGGTACAGAAATTAGTTGAGGTTAAAGATAAGCCCCTTATATAATTTACCTTGGCACCGAAGAACTTTTCCTTGGTCTGTTTCTTGTTGTGTGAGGAATGTAGGTGAAAATACGAAGCTTATCAAGTTTAAGTCTCAAGTGCAGGTACAATAAGATCTGAGGTAATTATTTTTAATCAATGCAAACTCTATAGCTAATACACACGCTCAACTTGAAATACTACATTCATTATTGACAATTAAATTCATAAGATTAAAAAAACAGCGAACCTGCTCGCAGACGGGGCAGTACCAATCATCATCAGGTACATTCTCTATGGGAGGCAGTAAACACGCCATGTGATACGTGGCTAAGTCACATCCGTCGCAAAACAGCATCTGAGACGAATTTAGTGAGTTTCACACTTGAATAGGCAAGATCACATATGTAGCATGTCAAATGTGTAACGTTGCTGAGACTGGGAATGCAATTTGATTCGGGAAGGATTGACCGTTTCGCTCCGTTATTTCAAGACAGGCTGCACCACTTTTTATAGATTTTCGCGGGAAATTTAAAAATGATTGACAAAACGTCATAAGTGAGCTATTTTTGGCCAACACGTGGTTAAAATGACAGGGTTTATCATGTCTTTACATATAAATTGCGCGCGTTAAAGCGCGTTTCGCCATTTTGCAAGTAATGTGCCAAAGTACTTGGAACTTTTAAATCTGATTCGTCTGTCGCGCGTGCGCACTTTTCTACGCTGTGACCGCCCCATCCCTGGATATGTTATAACTAAGTTTCCATGCTGCTTGACAATAATCACAAAAATACAGACTTCTTACTTTATCTACATCTTCTTCTCCCTTACACTTCCAACATTTATCTTCCGCCTCCGCAGGCTTTTTAACATCAGCCAAGGAAGTTATTTCTTTCATCGATTCCAAGAATTCTTTTGATATGTTGCAATTTTGTTGTACAGGCTTCCTGAAATTCAGCTACTGTTAATTTGGTATTATATATTTGAGTATTTTATTTATTACTATTATATAACAACTCAGTTTAAACATGCAACAAAGTATACAAGGAACAGCAAATAAAATCGAGATGCTGCTACAAAAGTGTTAAATAGTCTGATAAAAGCATCAACTCTTCCTGGAAGCCTACTTCATACCTGACACAGTTCCCAACAGAGTGTCTTCTATCCTGTTTCATACTATTATTATCCACCTGTCCGTTCTTTACGACAGGTTTTCTGTCTGCAACACAAAGTGAACCTGACGAATCCTCTGACTGTTTAGAACTGTTGTCTAGGTCGGAGAACGCAAATGGGTCCTTGTTGTTACGAGGCGCCTTTTTGTTTGTAGGCGAATGAGTAATGTTGATGAAGGAGTCCGCAAGTGCCTCTTTTTCGTGCTGTTTTAGTTTGCGACACGGGTAATTTTGAATTTTGGCGTCAGGCTCTAGTTTTGGCTCTGGTTTTGGTTTTTCTTGTAGTGGTACTCGATTTGTTGGTGTATTCACTGAAAAACAAATTATTAGTAAATATAGTGAAAACATATTTGTATTGTACAGAAGGGAACACGAATAATCAAATCAAATAATAATTAACGTCATCACACGTTATCATAAATATTTCTACTTAGATTATTAAATTAAACTGGAATACTCAGTATAAAAACATCAATCTCTAGATGAAATATAAACATCGAGAATTCAATTATTTTAACTTTCCCAAGATTCTATAAAAAATTCAAACTGAACAAAAAATTGTCGAATTTGTAGGTACTGTATAGATAAATTACCTTTATTTCCATCGGAAATACGAAGATGGTTTCTTGTTCTTTTACGAGAGCGAGCAATTGCCACAGCCTTTTTTTACTGAAACAGTCGGACTCAGTAATTTGTTTAGTACAAGTAAATACTTTTGTTCAAAAAAGTTCTTAAAATATTTTAAATATCGTCGTATTTAACCACAGTATCACCATAGTACCCTGTGTTTCTATATAGAAGGATGTGTTGCCCTGGTTTAAAATGTGTTGCCATGGGAACATGTGTTTCCATGGTAACGTGTTGCTAAGTAGGAGGTTTGCCTGGTAAGTGTTGCCTGGTTACATTGTTTCCAGTTAAAAGTGTTGTTGGTAACATGTGTTGCCAGGTAAAAATGTGTTGCCTGGGAACAGTGTCGCCATGGTACCGTGTTGTTTTGGTAAAAAGTGTTGTTTGGGTAAAAGTGTTTTGCCTTTGGGAACATGTGTTGCCTGGGAACTGGTTTATGGTAACAAAAAACCCTTTCATCGGTTTTCCCTTATGTTGCGGTTCTCTTTCCCCACAGTCTCGTTATCCCCGTTAGGCTTGTGTAAACCTTCCTGTTCAATTCCGACATTTCCTCTGGGAATTATGTTATAATAATAGTAACTATAATATATATTTTCATAGTAAGTAAATCATAAATTTTTTATACTATATGTGTTCTATAGTAATTAAAATATCGTTGGCTTGTTTTCAAACTGGATGTCGATTGTGTATGAGTTCAGGGGACTAACAACTGGCATAACTTAGTTAACTCTTACGAAGCCTATAAATCTACTAAGTATATCAAAAAGTAGTTTTTTCTGATTTTGGCCCGGGATAAACTTCAATATCTTTATATACATAAAATTATGGTCAGCCACCACACTATCTATGCTGTAAGTACTTGCAACCTCATGAAGTTCAGTGAAATTTGGACAGATTTAACTATCAGGTTTAATCTTAATGGCAAAAGAATTAAAATTGTTTCAAGCAATAAAAAGAAACGACAGGTTTGTCCAGAGGAGCTTACGCTTTCGTTCGTACACTCTCCCAAAGTTTGCCCTGTCTGAGCTGATGCTCGCTATCAGGGGGTCTCAACTCTCCACAACCGCTGCAACTGTGGGGGGGAGTACGACGCGAGGCACAGGGACCATTGGTCGGGGGACTGTAGGGATATTTCCACTGTACAATCTGTGGCTTTTTCTGTGTCTGAGGTGGTGAAATAGGAGAAACTGTGACAATTATAATAAAATTAACAGTTGAAATTCATGTGAATCAGGGTGATCAGTGTTAATAACTCAAGACGGTTTATGAATGGTATTTAAAAATTACAGTGTTATTTAGGATCTGACTTCTGGAGACTGTGCAACTATGTCTAGGACCTTAAACCATTGGCCTAGGTGCCACATGAATTTTTTACAAAGTTTCAATATATAATTTCTCGTGTTATCAATTTGATTCCTGGGTCCTTAATAAAATATAAGTGATGTTCAGCTCGGATAACCACATTCATCTTGCTTTGACGGACTAGGTGCTTTTTTTATAAACCAACTAGTCAGATAAAGAGGCCAATGAACAGGTTCTTGATGGAGTTTTGCCCTGCAATTTAGCAATACAGGTTTTGGGCAGCATCATGATGAAAAGTTTCAAAATTGTTAGGTTAAATTTGAGGGCAAGTAATTCCACAAATTCCAACAGTTTTAGAAAACACTCCATGGATACTTAAACTCGAAATGTTGCACAAAACAGTTTATTTACTAACCGATATGAACCATTATGTGACCTCTAAAATCTCGACCAAAGGAGAAAATCTCAGATTGTCAGGTGAGATGGGAGATTGCAGTTCGGTTTAGAATCTTGAGTTTTCCTCAAACTGCCTGGAACCCAAAACAACAGTATCTCTAGTTGACCTGTTTCTTGGCAGGTTATTGAAAAGACTATACACACAGTCCCCGCGGAGTAAATTGTAGAGTCTCTATCTTAACATAACTTTCAGGAGGAGCAGAGTATTGGAAGTTTGTTAGGACACCACATCTTCGTATGCAAATGATGAGAAGCTGTTCGACGGCATTTCAGCTTGTGGTAATGCCGTCGAACAGGCTTCCTCATCAGTTTTGCTACGAAGATGTGGTGTCCTAACAGACATTCCAAAACTCAGTCCACTCTGACAAAAGTTATATTAAGGATAGAGTACTCTAAAAATCATACTCCTCCCTTGGTGAAAGTCTATTCAATAACCTGCCAAAAGAACAGTAAAACTAGAGATACTGTGAAGTTTGTTTGTCTCAGTCCGTTTGATGAAAACTCCAGATTCAAAACCCGAACTCAAACTCCCAGTTCTCACTGACAATTGAGATTTCTTCTTTGGGTCGAGATTTTGAGAGTTACAATATTGGATCATCTCGGTTAGTATGATAAACAGTTTGTTCAACAATTCGAGATTTAAGTATCCATGAGTGTTTTCTAAACCGTTGGAATATTTGAGAATTACATGCTCAAATTAACCTAACAATTTGAAACTTTTAAGTCATGATGCTCCAAAACTGTATTCAAAAATTGCAGGGCAAAAAAACTCCATCAAGGACCTGTCATTTGGCCCTCTTTCAACTGACTAGGTGTTATTAAAAAAAAAGCACCTAGTCGTCAAAGCAATATGATGTGGGTAATCGAGCTGGGAACATCACGGATATTTACTAGGACCCAGACAAATTGTAACACGGAAATTATATATTGGAAACTTTGTAAAAAAATTCATGAGGCCCTATGCACAATGGGTATTAAGTTTAGACATATTTGCACAGACTCATACCTCATATCCTAACATAACCTGTAATTCTTATTAAATACATTCTTAAACCGTTCTTGATTTATTAAAACACTGCTCACCCTGAATCACAGAATTTGCAAACTGTTAAATTTTTAATCATAATGTCACAGTTTCTCCTATTTTCACCACCTCAGGACACAGAGAAAGCCACAGATTGTACAGGTGTGAAATATCCCTACAGTCCCGACCAATGGTTCCTGTTCGCTGCGTCTTACTCACAGTTGCAGGTGTTGTGGAGAGGTTGAGACCCCCTGATAGCGAGCATTCAGTCAGGACAGGGCAAACTTTGGGAGATTGTTAACGAAAAGAAAGGTATCTTCCTCTGGACAAAACTGTGCGTTCATTTTAATGCTTGAAACATTTTATTCTTATTGCATTAAGATTAAACCTAATAGTTAATCTGTCCAATTTCACTGAACTTCATGAGGGTTGCAAGTACTCTACAGCAAAGATAGGGTGGTGGGGCTGACCCAAATTTTGTTATTAAGTATATTGACGTATATCCCGGGCCAAATCAGAAAAAAAACCTACATTTTGATATCTTAGTAGGATTTATATTCTTCGTTAAGATTTACAAGATAAGCCAGGTTGTTAGTCCCCTGAAACTCATACACGAATCGACATCCAGTTTGAAAAAAATGTCCGTGTTTTGAGCCAAAAAACTATATCCCCATATTTGGAAACAAAACAAACAAAATGTGAAAGATTTTGGCCCCTACAATACTTAAATGTCAATATTTCTGATGAGACTTTAACTTAAGGTCATAGCTAAAGTCTCAGCCATATTCTACTGGAGATCTACTTTTGGAGGGTGCTCCCCATGTGTACAATTAAAACTACAGATTACAGACCCTCCTGTATGAAGAGCGTAGTTGGCAAGTACCTGTTATTGCTAGTTAATACAATCCCACGTGATACCCTATAAGGAGAAACGACAACTTGCTTAATTGTTGATATTACTCATTTAATAAACACACAATTGCTCTCCACACAGCGTGAAGACAAGCTAAGAAGAGGAGAAGAAGAACAAGTAGATGAGACGGCTTGAGCTAGCTAACGAGGATGATCTAGAAGAAGTAGCACCAGGATCCGAATATACGAACTAGGGGTCCAGTACACTATACAGAGTATAATTTCTAGTACACTAGTAATCTACTAGTAGAACTCCACTAGTAGTAACCAGTAGTAGTAGTAATACACTCTACTAATACTAGTAGATCGGGGGGGGGGGGGGGGGGTTATAGTAGATTACTGGAATATCATAAAAATAACATGTTGTTTATATTGGTCCTGGTGAGTTTGTTTGGTTAGAATGTTAATTATATATAAAACACTAATATATACAGGGTGGCCAAAAAGTCAGAGTACCCATACGTTGGCCTTAATTTGCTCCGCCGTGTTTTAAAATGTGAGGGCTGTATAGCTTTGCAGATGGCATACTGTACTTACTGGTTCGGGATTCCGTCGTCAAAATTTGAGAATACGAAAAATTTTAGACCACGACCCATTCACTATTAAACACCTATAATTGTTTTCTCTGAACATGCTGACGCCTAATTTTTTAAGAGACGGTAGATTCTCAAATGTAGCATATGATCTGACACATGAGGCAAAAACGGATTAAAATGACGACGTTATCACGTATCTACTGTATCTCGTTAACAAATTGACTGGGTGATTATTGACCACCGTGACACGACCCATTAATTGGGGGCACCCTTAACCATTCCCATAATGTTTAAACGGGGTAATAGTTACGGGGTCACCTTTATCACGTCATTAGGTAAACCAATCACCTGATCACACGTAATGAATAAACTCGTTATGTCCATTATTCTCGGTCATCTGTTCTATTATATAATAATCTATATAATACAAATACAGTATATAGTAACACTATATATATATAGTAGTTACTAGTCTACTATAGTAACAGTATATAACTACAGATGAATATATAGTAGTTACTAGTTACTATAGTAACAGTATATAACTACAGATGATATATAGTAGTTACTAGTTACTATAAGAAACAGTAATATATTATAAATAGTAGTTACTAGTTACTATAGTAACACCTATATATATATATAGTAGTTACTAGATACTTATAGTACACTACTATATATATATCGTAGTTACTAGTTACTATAGTACACTATAGATATATAGTTAGTTATAGTTACTATCAGTAACACTATATAATACAGATGATATATAGTAGTTACTAGTTGACTATAGTAACACTATATTAAAACTA